AGCCCGGAAGCAGGTGGGAGAACAGGGGGTCCCCCCGGCTGCCAGAGCCATTCAGCCCCCCCTTATCCCAGCAGGGAAAAAGGGGCTCCTTGTTGCAGGGCTGGGATGCAGGCATGTGCCGCCCCCCCATAGCAGAGGGTCTGGGGGACCCCAAAGAGGTGATGGATGGGGGGGTGGGAGCAGACACTACAGCGACACATGAGCACACACACACCTGGGTGAGCGTGTCACACACACACACACAAAGGTTTGCACCCCCATTCCTGGCTGTGGGGCTTTGGTGGGGAAACTGAGGCACGAGGTGGGGCAGAAGTGTGGGGTGGAGGATGGAGTGGGGGGTCCCAGATTTCAGCACTGCCACTCAGATGGGACCCGCTGATGCTCCCCGGCCCCTCTACACACTCACCATCAGACTCACAGCTCCTTGCTCCCAGCACAAGATCACCCCATCTCCCAGATTCCCCAGTTTAAACCCATTCCCAGTACCCTCACACTGCCATGCACCCACCCAGCAGCTGGAAAAGGCTCCCAACTGGGATAGAGAGAATTTTTCCCACTCCTCCAGCAGTCGAAAGGAAGAGCAACAGGTTCTGGGTTGGATTGAGTCGGGAGAAGTCAGTGTGATGGGAAAGGAGGTGACTTCGGACAAAAGTGGGGGATGCTCATGGGCATCCTGGGGACAAAATGCTCTGGGAAGGGGTTTGCAACAAATTACCCCAGCCCAGGGCACCCCACAGGGGATGTGGGGTTCACTTTGGGGCTGCTCAGTGGGGAAAAGTCATAAAAATCCCATAAAATATTTCTGATTTCCGCCAGTCCCTCCTGTCCCTGCACTGGGACACTGGCAGAGCTGGGGGAGGATGGGGAGGTGCCCTGAAGCCACCACAACCCCTGGCTTCTGCCCCAGCCCCACTGGGATGGGGCAGTTTTTCCCCTGAAAACCTCTCCATGGACAGCAGAGATGCAGCCAGGCAGGAGAGGGGGGAACCAGACCCCTGGGGTCTCTGTGCAAACTCCTTCCCAACTCCATGCCTCAGTTTCCCTTTCCACTGCTCCCCTGAATACATCCTCCTTGGGACAAGGACCCATCCAGAGGCTCTGCAGGACAGATGGGGAGGGGTCCCCTGTGACGGGACACCCCAACCCCATGCCAGACCCCCAGCCCCTCTGACAGCTTTCCCTAAACAAGGATCCTATGGGAGCAGCTGCTGAAACAGCCCCTAAAATCCCCCTTTGTCCCCAAAACCTTTGAGCCAATGGACAGCCAGGCAGCAGAACAGGCTGAGCTGTGACACCAAAGTCCTTTTTCCATCCAACTTAGCAAAAAAAAAACCCAAACCCCTTCATCCTCCACTCTGCAGAGCCAGCACCAGTACAAGCTGATCCATTAAAAACAAATTACTTGCAGAGCCATGCTGTCCTCGCAGGAGATCGGTGACAAGGACAAACCTCCCCAAAGTGGGGACCATGGGGACAAACAGCTTTGAGCATCCTCCACCGCAGGGCAGGAGGATGCTGTGTGCCCCCTGTGCCTGCATCTCACTGGGAAAAACTCTGGGCATCCCCACGCTGGATCAGCTCTGCTCTCACTTCCCTCCGGCGCGGAGGTGAGGTGAGATATTGACACCAATAGCGCAGTACGGCAGCTGCCCGACCGGCCCGCGCATCACTCCGTGGTTGACCATCATCAGAACCCAACACGTTCCCCGCATCCCACCTTGTTCGGAGCCTGGTGACAACCCCGTGGTGACCCTTCTTCACACGGTGATGCCAAAGTGGGGTCCCCTTCCCTAGGACCCCAGTATGGGGCTGAGCTGTGGCTTCTGCGGGGCGATCGGCAGCAGGTTGGCAGGAGAGCTGGGAACAAGCTCCACCAGGCATAAGTGCAGGCACCGAGAAAAGAGAAGGTTTCTGTGTCCGTCCGTGTCCTCGTCTCCTTTATTTTCCTTTTTTTTTTTTTCCCTTCCCCTTTCCCTCCTCCTTTTATATTTATTCCTTCCCCTAATTAAGAAAAAAAAATATATTACCGTGTTGGCAGGCGCTTCGTCCCTCCCCTTCCCTCCCTCCTGGCAGCTGGCAAAGCCACCACGAGACGCTGAGCGTGGGGAGAAGAGGATGCTCAACCCAGGCACGTTATTTAACCCCATGCAGCAGAAATTGGGGAGCAGCCAGAGAAGGGGATCCCCCCACCACAGCCCCTGCCACCGCATGGGAATGCCCTCTGGATGGTTATTTTTAATATTTGGCAGCTTGAGCTGGATGAGGAGGGGGTCACGGGTTGGGGTCTCGGTGGCCAGCAGAGGCTTTGTCATGTAAAACCCCCTTCACAGCCAGGCTGGTGGAACCCCATGTAGGTGGAGGCACCATCTGGGGGCTGGATGGGATCTGGGGGGCTTCACCAGCCCCATAAGGGTGGTGGGAGCAGCCAGAGGTGACCACCCAACATGATGCTCACAGGCAAGCTTGGTCCTGCAGAAAGCACGTGCCGTGCCTCAGTTTACCCACCTGCATCCGTGTCACAGGGACCCAGGTTAATTAATGCAACTGTAGGTGTGATAGTTTGCAGATCGCTCCTGGCAGGGTGTGTTGGGGACACAACGGGATCTGGGGACCCACATTTGCAGAGCTGATGCCCCCCCACGAGCTGCCATCGGGGCTTTTGAAGCAGATCTGGCTCAAACTTTCTCTGCACCCCGGGGGCTGCGGCGCGGAGGCTGCTGGATAATTGCTGGGGTGAGTTTGCAGAAAGCGGCAGCTCCTGAGCAGAATTAATCACTCGGCGCCCTGGGAAATAATTCAGGAGACGGAGCCGCTCTCGGTAGCGGTGCCGACCGGCGGGGGGGGCACGGAAACGCTCGGTCCTCCGGAGAGCCCAGTGCAGGGGGGGGCCGGGATGGACACAGGGATGGAGACTGGGATGGAGACTGGGATAGATACTGGGATGGACACTGGGATAGATACTGGGATGGACACTGGGATAGATACTGGGATGGACACTGGGATAGATACTGGGATGGACACTGGGATAGATACTGGGATGGACACTGGGATAGATACTGGGATGGACACTGGGATAGATACTGGGATGGACACTGGGATAGATACTGGGATGGACACTGGGATAGATACTGGGATGGACACTGGGATAGATACTGGGATGGACACTGGGATAGATACTGGGATGGACACTGGGATAGATACTGGGATGGACACTGGGATAGATACTGGGATGGACACTGGGATAGATACTGGGATGGACACTGGGATAGATACTGGGATGGACACTGGGATAGATACTGGGATGGACACTGGGATAGATACTGGGATGGACACTGGGATAGATACTGGGATGGACACTGGGATAGATACTGGGATGGACACTGGGATAGATACTGGGATGGACACTGGGATAGATACTGGGATGGACACCACAACAGACAATGGGATGGACACTGGGATGGATGACAGTACAGACACTGGGATGGATTCTGGGACAGACTCCAGGATGGACACTGGGATGGACACCAGGACAGATACTGGGATGGACGCTGGGATAGATACTAGGATGGATGTCAGGATGGATACTGGGATGAACACCAGAACAGACACTGGGATGGACACTGGGATGTATGCCAGTACAGACACTGGGATGGATTTTGGGACAGACTCCAGGATGGACACTGGGAGACACTGGGATGGACACCAGGACAGATACTGGGACGGACACTAGGATAGATATTAGGACGAACGTTGGGATGGATGTCAGGATGGACAGCAGAACAGACACTGAGACAGACACTGGGATGAATTCTGGGA